ACCTTGTGTTACCATAAGCCTCCCAGAAGACATTTTTGCAAAGCTTCCGTTTTCTTCTTTTCTACAAACTCTGCTGCCCATTACAAAGTGACCCATAAAACCACCTGTGAATACACCTAAAAGACCAATTGTAAGGGAGAGAGGAAATCTTTTCCCTTCCCTCAAAACATTCATCATCAGACCCACTGGTTGTCATCAGACCTCTTTCTACCATCCCAAAGGCTGGTGGGCATGTTCATTTGCAGGATTTATCATCAAAGAGAAAGGAATTTAAAACTAGAAGAGTTTGCTATGCCACTGCCTTTTTCCTAGGCTACTTTCATTGAAGCAGTCACAGGGAACTCCCATGAGAACTCCCAAATGTCTGATCATCTACAGATCACAGAGTTTGGAAAGGACACAGAGCATACATGATCCGAGGAACTTCCACCTGTTTGTAAGTACTGTATGCGGGAGCATCATGTGCTATGAAGCAAAGGGGACAGCTCCCCCCAACCTTGGTTTGCCCCGCCGCTGTGCCTCAACTAATCCATAGATCATAGAATTGCTCCACTATGTCTTCCACTTTTTACTCCCCTAGATTTTGCAGGATACAGTATAATCACATATAACATTCTATATGCTGGACACAAATTTGCCCCTCCTAGAATTTTTTTGAATGACAACAGACTGTATTCCAAGATGTAATGTGTTAGTTGTATAAGCTTTTCACCTGTAAAGACAAGAGTTGAAATCCTTGCTGAGGTGTGAAGTGTCGGAGAATAACAGAGTTCTCACTTTTTGTTTGGGTACAGCAAGTCAGATACTTTATTTTCTCTAACAATTGCGTAGAGGGAGAGAGCTAAACAGGTCTCTCTATAGGTAAACAATTACAGCAAACCTTTATACCTTTCATTACAGACAATAATAAGCAACAGCTGCATTTTGTTTATACATAGGCCATCTTGATATCTTATTTTTCTCACTTGTTTTGACTCTAGTCTACATACAATATTTTCTACACATTATCTACACAAGGTCGCAACAACTTCTCACACAGTTCTTTCCCACTCGCCTCACACAATCCTCGCTTCTACAAATCTCGCGTTATTAGGGTTACAGTTAGCCTGACTCTTGCTAACGAACTGTCATGCATTGCATCCCCTTCCTGTCAGTTCTTTCTCTGCTTCCACAACCCCCCCTTTTGTACTACTAGTACAACAAACCTTCTCAAATCTCTATTTGCATTAAGTCTTGGAATTCAGATTCTACATCAGATGCTTCAACCTTAGGGGTTTTGATTGGATGTAATGACAATGCATGATGAGCATGGACATGAAAGGTATTACTATTATTACGGCCTTTACAACAACAACAACATACTCCTACACTAGCTTACAACAACACAAGCAATAACATTCCCATAGCGATAATATGATGAGGTTGTTGTACAATCTTAGTCACAGAACACAATACATCATACTTAGTACATAAGGTGGACACTCTATAAGCTGTCTGAAAGGCATACTTTTCAACTTGATATATATTTTGAAGCATGTGAATTTGCCCTTGTACTTCAGAGATTTTCTGAACCTCTGGTAACAGTGAAAACAAATTCTGAAATCTATCAGGTACTAAACTAGTCCAATTAAAGGGTATCTGGAACCTAAGGGCTACTTGCAAAACTCTATCTGTGGGCCAGTAGATAATATGATTGCCTGCAGTGGTAGTGAGATTAAAATGTATGTCTTGCGATGTGGTGGCATTAACATACACACAGCTATCATTGGCTTGAAAAAGTAAGTGTCCTGTCAGGGTAGTTCCTTGTCCCCTACCCTCCCAGCAAACGTAGTCATGAACAGTGACAACTTCTCCTGGCTTCAGTTTACGTATACACTGAAGCTGTGGGGGTTCTAACGGCCAAAATGTCCACTGACTTCCTAACCCCATCCAAATGTCAGGTGTAATCCCAGGAGCACTGACTAAAAATCGATTGGGCACACCAGGTGGTCTAATTTCCCAGATGTCTCGGTGAATTACCCAATCCCACATGCATCCTCCCCATGGACCCGGCAGGATTCGGTATGTGGGAGCCCACACCCCCCTAACCGGTCCATATGCTTGGAAGGAGCACTGAGAACGTCCGCATTTCCACCCAGAAAGTCTCCAAGTATATCTCCATGGCCACAGATCAGATGGTACTCCTGATGTGTCTGTAAGGGCAGTGGGCCAAGCCTGATGCTCAAGATCATTCTGAATGGCCATTAGCTGGTCATTCAGGAAATCCTGAATTTCTGAACATGCTAGATCCCACTGCAATGCCTTCCCAGCCTCAGTGATATTCAATACCATCTCTGTCAACAACTTCTGGGTCATAGAACTAAGGGCGGAAATAACATGTAACTCACCAACTCCAGCCTGTACCTGGATTAGTTGTGCCCCAGAAACAAGGCCGATGGCCTTCTCTAGTTGGCCCAATTTCTCATCATGTTCTTGGTTCTTAAAAATATTCCAAACTGCTGCTGCACTATTGGCCCCATCCCATAGGGATCCGGTCAAGTCTCTCTTCTTTCTAGAGGAAATAACCCAAGCCCTCTGTTGTGCTAATCTAATGGCAGCTCCCCTTGATTTCGGTGACCTCATCCTAGTCTTCTATTCACCCAAGACAGGAATGGCAAGAATGAAAAAGTCAGGACTGAACTTCAGTAAAAGACAAGTAGATGAAAATTGCACAGAACAGTACCAGGCTCAAGCTAATGTTATTTACTGATGTTCATCTTTATAGGCACTATGGTCACACACAGTTTCTTAAGTCAGTTTGGTAACAAAATAGATCTTGAATTACCTGTATAACTTATACTCTGGAAAGATCATATTTAATTTATTAATTTAATATAATCATTTTCACTTTGTAAAAGCAATGTTTCAGAATGTAACATGAAAAAGTTATGCTGTACTGTTCCAAAGGCTCTACGCATTATACACATTTGTATAGTCTTTTCTTTCCCATCTGATGACAACATTCATTGACTGATTGGAACAGAACAGTTTTTAAAAGTGTGTTTAGAATAAAGTTTGAACTAAACAACTATTTTTTCTTCTCAGCTCATCTCATATTAGGCAAATACAAGGATTAAAGAGGGACAGTTTTATTTTGTAGGGTTTATAATTACTTCTCTTGGAAGTCTGAAAATAAATTCTGTCTCATTTCATTAGGCAAATAATAATTTTCTTCCTTGTGTTTTTCTAACAGAACTGAAAATTAACATAGAATTTCTCTTTACTTCCCCCTTTTATGCACCAACATTATCAAAAGAGATCAGTACAGCTCTGGAAACAAAGTCCATTATTTTTTGCTCCACAGCTATAAGAGGACAGAAATACTGTCCTGTATTAAGAGCGGCTATTGTTTGTATATTTCTTGCCAATAGAAATAATAGAAAGGCTTTTATTTTAGCTCTTGTTATTTAGAACCCAGAGGACATTCTTTGAGCAGATTACAAGATGTCATATACTGAGTTTGGAGCAGGGCGAATAATACAAAAAAATTATTTGTTTAAATCTTTGGACAATTCATTTCAGCTGTGTTTACACGCCTTCTGGGTTCGCTATCCACTAGCATTCAGGTGACTGAGTTTACGAGAACAAATGCACCAGGAAAGTGAATTTTAAGCTTGCACATTCTAATACTTACAAAAAATGAATTAGAAAGTCATGTTGTGCACCCATTTGCACATAAACCTGAAAATACAAGAGTTATGTTTATCTAGACCAGAGGTGGGCAAACTACGGCCCGCGGGCCACATCCGGCTCGCGGGACCGTCCTGCCCGCCCCCGTGCTCCTGGCCCGGGAGGCTAGCCCCTGGCCACTCCCCTGCTGTTCCCCCTCCCACACAGCCTCAGCTTGCCCCGCCGCCGGCACAATGCTCTGGGTGGGCGGGGCTGTGAGCTCCTGGGGTGGCGCAGCTGCAGAGCCCGTCCAGACCCGGTCTCTGTGCTGCATGGTGGCAGCAGCGGTGTGGCCCGGCTCCAGCCGGGCAGCATGGCGTGGCTGTAGCGCCGCTAGCCACCGGTGCTCCAGGCAGCGCGGTAAGAGGGCACAGAGCAGGGGGGGTTGGATGGAGGGCAGGGAAGTTCGGGATGGTGGTCAGGAGATGGGGGTGTGGATAGGGGTCGGGGGAGAACAAGGGGTTGAATGGGGGTAGGGGTCCCGGGGGGGCAGTCAGGAAGGAGGGGGGGTTGGATGGGGCAGCAGGGGGCAGTCAGGAGCAGGGGTTCCGGGGGGAAGTCAGGGGACAGGGAGAAGGAGTGGTTGGATAGGGCAGGGGTCCCGGGGGGGGGAGGGGCTGTCAGGAATGAGAGGAGGGGTTGGATGGGGCAGCGGGGTCCGGGGCAGTCAGGGGACAGGGAGCGGGGGTGTGTGGATGGGGCAGGGGTCCCGGGAGAGCCGTCAGTGAACAGGAGGGATTGGATGGGGTAGGAGTTCAGGGGGGAGGATAGGAGATGGGGGCCGGGCCACGACCCCCTCCCCTAACAGGCCCTCCTGTACGAAACCCGATGCGGCCCTTGGGCCAAAAAGTTTGCCCGCCCCTGATCTAGACTAATGTGGTCAATCACAAATCAGGAACTCCGCTAGAATTTTTAATTTTGAACAGCAAGCCAAAAATAATCAATATTCATAAAGTTAGGCCCAATAATTTAAAATAATGAATAAATATGAAGAAGTCACAATTTGCTAGTGGACATTCTGCAAAATCTTGGGCTAACTCTGAAAAAGTTAGTAGCCGTGATAGTCTGTGTTAGCAAAAAGAACGAGGAGTACTTGTGGCACCTTAGTGCCACAAGTTGAATTCATTACCAATTATTCATTCAACTCTTGATTCAAGTAGTCAACAGAATCCCTTTTAGGAAAAACTATCCAATGTACATGTCATTACAGAAAAATTGCATCAGTGGTAAACATTCAAAAAAACTTAAAGAATCAAGTGATAACAGATTGCAGAAAAATAGACAATACTTACTGGAGAGAACTGTAGTGAGGAAGATGTAGTCAGAAAAAGAGATGAGTCCACATTCTCCAAGTGTATAAAATATACTGTCTTCATCAGCAAACTTCTCTCGTTCTTGGGATAACTTCTATTTTACAGATCCAACCCACACACCCCAAAGAAAGAAAATAAAAGAATCAATTAAACACTTAAAGAGGATCTGTATCATTTATATCATTGCCAACAAGCTTTTTTTTATGAACATATCCCTCCTATTACCATTCAAATTCAATGGACCTTTTCCAGACTTCAAATCTAACAGAACTAGCGTTTTTTGTTTCAAATAAAGCACAAACTGGAACTGGCCAATAAACTTAGCATCTTTAGTCTAGTACAGAGATAGAAACAACATATGATGTGCTTTTTGTTTAGTGCTGTCTAAATTCTCTAGCGAATAATGGTACTATATAATCTAGGCTCTTTACAGCAGAATTAAAATGACAGCCATAATGAGTTTTATCCCAAAGTGTTTTATTTCTATTATAGTTGTCTAGTTTAACAATAGCTTAAAGCAGTTTGGTTTTAATATCTGATAGTTTCCCAAAAATTTAGTTACCTGATAAAATGTTAGTATAACCCAAGCATTTGTTTGGTAAAGACAACCACTAGAGTCAAAATTCCTGCATGAATGCATTCAACTTTTAAGATAACGGGAAACTTTTTGATTAGAAAAGCACACTACATGTATTTTATCAGCTGATCTCACTTCTAAACTGAAAGCCACTGGGTGACTGATCCACTGAAGCTTTAAAGACTGAAAAGGACCCATAGAACTGTGTTAGAGGCTGGATATTGAATTTCATAGTGGTGAACCATTTAGAAAATACACACGCACGCACACGCACATTCAGCGGGAAAGAAAATTAATATAAAAACATTAAGTACAGTTGAGGTTAATCCATTTCTGATCATGCAAGCACAGAAGCAGAAACAATGCAAGCTTAATTTAGCAACAGTATTATGAAACAAAAAACAACAAACACCGCCACACGAAGGTCCAGCTACACAACTGCCCCCATCTGTTACCTCTGTCTAGTGAAGATCCCATCATATTCAAGATAAAGGAAAGAAAATTGGTTAACCAACAAGATAAGTTCACAAAACATCAAAACAAATTGATCTGTTAGATTTGCAGCAACTAGCTATTTGCTGAAAATATACACTGCTAAGAAGCCTAGGTATAAATTCCAGCAAGAATTGAAACTGAGTTGAAGGTTCAGACCCACCATCTACAGCTGTTTCTTGTTCAGTTATATTTGAAAGAACTCACCATTCTACTTGACAGCAGATTGGAGATTAGTTTGCCTAATAATTTAGATGAAAATTTGACAAATATCTGGCTTGGAAACCACAAGAGAAAAAAAGTCATCATATTGATCAGCAAATATACAATTTCCAATTAAGCTCAGCTCTACTGATCAAATATAGCAGTAGCTCTTATTTTGAAGACTTGGAGTTGTTAAGAATGTGAAGTGAGGTAAACCTCCACAAATCAGCAGAAGAATTTATCAATGCATCCACTTTGCAAAGGTATTAGCAATACATTATCACAGTACATCAGGCTGTGTTTTCTTTTCATTAAAGAAATATTTTTGTTATATATACAAACTTAAGTCAAACTCAAACCCCAAAACACCCACATAGTGCTGATTATGCTGAAGACAAATAATCAGCCTTTAGTTCTCTCTGAACGCAAAGGAAGCTCGAGTTTAAAGCTAGTGAATTTTTTTTGCAATCATTTTCTTGGATTATTGTCATGGTTGCTGTATCCCTCAATGGTATAGCCCACTCATGTTATTTATTGGCTCTGTCTTTGCATTTATCTTTAGCAGAGCTCACTATAAACCAGCTACCGACACCCTGATAAATGTGGAGTATTTACAGAGAAAGGATTAACAAACACTATATACATATGCGGTATATTTGGAGATAGATTTTAATTGTTATGAGTATTATGAATTTAAAGTTGGCTTTTATTTACTATTAAAGGCTGGGAAAGTTCCTTATAAATTAAAAGTTATGTGAATGGGCTAAAAGCACCTGAAAAAAATCTAGTTTTAAGTTAAATCTTCTTGGAAATACAAATGTTATAGATAGAAAGGGTACAAAAATATTCTCACTTGAAGAACATATCTATTTTTAAAAACCTACTTAATCTACTACTATTTGTCAGAGGTTAGGTATAAACATGGGAGACTAATGCATGCTACCACCACGTGGCCTAATTCTGATCCTATTCAAGTTATTGGGAGCTTTAACACCAATTTCAGTAGTAACAAGAACAAAGTCTATTTGCCAAAAAGAGATGTAATTTTGTATAATGGTATGTTCAGACTGTTCTATTGTCACTATTTTTTGGGAAGGAGTGAGCATATTAAAAAAAAACTGCTGGTATTTCTAATTTGTATTTTTGTTCATCATGTATATTTTGTTGTCTTCCACAAAACATTTGGAAGATATTCTCCAAAGAGGTGCTGAAAGTTTCAAGTTATTTTAAATGAAAGCTTATAACCTCCAGAAGTTGATTACACATGCCTAGGAAAAACTTCCTTCTAGCTTTGAGCAACTGGATTTTTCAAGAGACTAACGCCAAACATAGCTCCCCAACTGTAGTTGAGCTCTGTTGTTCTGCAGGCATAGACAGGGTAAGGTTTAAATACCCATTTTAATGAAATGCAGTCAATTGGTGCTAGAACAAAGGGTAGACCACACTTAGTTAAACTGGGTTTTAAAATGGCGATCCCATCCAAACCAGCAGGACAGAGTTTAACACTATCTGAGGGTAGGAGAACTGCACAGACTCTCTGTTGTGCAACAAGATACAGCCTATCAGATGTGCCAGAAATGAAATAATCTCCAAGGACTGACTTTCTTGTACTGTTAGAGTTTAGCCAAGTATGCACATTGAAGATAAAAGGTTGAAAGTTTAACTGAAAATTACCGGTGAAGTTAATAGAGGAATGTGTAAGAGACAAATAAATGGAACTGTATCCATATATTTTACAATGTGACCTAACAGAGGATTTTCCTGGGCCTTTTTTGCATTTGTTTGCTCACCTATCGAAGAAAAACGTATCAGTATCTAAAACTAAAGACAATACTAGATTCAAAGTTGCCTCAAGGATTCTGAACACCACAAGCTATGAAAAAGCATCACATGGATTGTTTAAAACTCTTTCTGAAATGCTGTAAAACCTAATGATGTTAAAGGCACAAAATCAATACCCAATTCTCTCTTTATTAAAATATACTTCCTCTTGTCTATAAAGCTTTGACTTCTAGTCAATGCCATCAACACCTTTTGTGCAGTCTATTTCTTCTGCTGTTTCGTTTCAACATAGCATGAGTTATATTACAGCTGAAAGGTTAACATGAGGAATTAAAACAGAGAAAAATAACAGAAAGAAAAGCAAAATTAAAACTCTTTAGGCAATGAGTCATCTTTACAACTGTCATGATTAGTTATCTGTACAATTTCAGTACAACCTTCAAATTTCATGTGCTTGAGTTAAGAATTTTCAAACAAATTAAAAAAATGATTCAACCTTATGTAAAATACATTAAAAAAACTGAGCAACCAGTTAAGATCATACATTGCCTAAAGAACATTCACAGTTGGGAATTCACAAGTGAGCAATGCACTGTAAAAATATTTATAATCATTTTTATCAAGCAGTGAATCACATTAGACAAAAGCATACAAACAAGCATACATATACATGTGCAAATCAAATACATAATTTATTTCATTACAAGCAAGTCTGTGTATATTCAGTGAAGATGTGTCTAACTCAGTAATTTCTATCAAACAGATTCATACCGTCAATTGATCTTACAAACTTTGCTAAACATTGACCATGCAGCTGAAAGGTTTATCTACACTTAAAAAAGGAAGCTCAGTCTATCCCATAAAATTTAGGCTTTCTTGCAACAAGCAGATCCAGGAATGACAATTTAATCTAATGGAAGAAAAAACAGTCATTTTAAGGCAATTATTAACACTGATGTATTTTCTTGCTTTCCAGAATGTTGTGTGTGTTGCTATAAACACCAGAAAAGCAATCCCATCATTTAGCCAGGAGTTTTGAGCAGTCATTTTGGTAGTCAAACAGAATAATATGGAAATTGTTTCCCCACCTTTATAAACTCAGTCAAAAGCCTGACAAATATAAGGTCAAGAAAAATGTTTGATTTTTCTTACTCTGATCTCAGCTAATGAAAGTGGAGGGGGGCAGGGATGTTGATTTTTTCCCTTTTTTTCCTTAAAGGAATTTTTGATTTTTAGTTCTCAAGTGACACATACAGAGGCTGCAACCAAGCAAAGCATTGAGAAGTATTACGCAAGCTTCCTCTCATATTCTGCCAGTGCATCTTGATGTTGACTTGCCACACACTAGGCCCTGGACAGGTCTGGCCCTCTCTTGAGCAATGAATGCCAAATGATGGGACAGTTTTCAGTTGCAGACAAATTCATGTCAGCTAAACCAAATCAGAACTTAGGTTTCATGTAAAACCCAACTTGGTACCTTTCCCCCACCTCACTTTCTAAACCTTCTGGAGCTTTTTGTTTTTTTAAGTTAGGAGCAAAAAATCATATCCATCAGGGCTCATTCAGGAGAGAAGTCCAGAGTGTTATATAAAAGGTATTTGGTGGTGAAGTCACAGTACTTGGAATCTTCTGGCTGACTGCCCAGCATAGGCATCTGCACTGCCAACCCTGTTAGAATGCCAGTGGAGGGGCAATAAGAGAACCTAGTGCTCTGGCTGTTGCCAGGTATAATTTATAGTTAAAAGATCAAAGTATACATGTCATCTAATATTTAGATAAATGAATATATAAAGCTATATCTTTTGTCAGATTTACTTATGTCTTCTCCACAAAGTCAGAAAATTCTGTGAATTTCAATGTTGACCTCAGTTGCATTTAAAAAGCTAATCTAAATAAACCCCTGCAGCACCATTTCATTTTGCATTTCAAAAACAACTTAACGAACAACATTTAATGTGCTGCTTTTGGAAGAAAGCAGTTTGGCAAGTCATTTAAAATGACAGTTTGTATTTCATCCTAGGGGATGGAGACGTACATTC